TGTCAGGTGCTCTGCTGTCCGGCGGGTACCGAGCCTGCGGGCTCCGGAGACTCCAGGCCCGCCCACCGGGTCTCCGGTGGCCCCGAACTGCTCACCTGTCGGGCGGAGGCGGCTGGAAACCAGTCAGCGGTGCTGGGAGGACTGGACGGGCGGAGACGGAACAGTAACGTATCCACCACTGGTGGGGAAGAAAACTCCATGTTCACATCCAGAACATCCCGACAAAAGTGCAGTCCGCCGGTCAATGAATGTCACTGTGCTGTCAGCTGTGGTGTCAGCTGTGGATCCGACAGGAGTGGGTGTCGCTGACAGTGAGCTGGAAGAGACTGGGGAGCAGTCAAGGCATCTGTCGATCCAGTCGTGTTTAAAGGTCTGTTGTTCTTAAAAGGACGTTTCGGATTGTGCGCCGTCCGCTTCACATCCACTATACCGGACTCTCCCTCTCTCTCTCCTCTCTCTCCTCTCTCTACCACATCCACTCTCCTCATCTGTCTCTCTGTTTCTCTCCCTCCACCCAATTCCCTCTCTCTCTATCCATCTATCTAAAAGTGTCACCCTCACACTCCCTCCCCTCCCCCCCCTCCTCTATTGAGATCAACTTCATTCAGCGGTTGTAGGTTTGTGATCAGCTGTGTGTCACTATCTGTTACTGTAGACACAAATATCTTGCATGATTTGCTCTTTTATCAATTTGTTTTATATGTGTTTGCTTAATATCAACCTAGATATTACATATTGTAATTCTGTAATGGTATAGCCTACTGCTACCTCTGGCTATGACACCAATCCCCTCCGTCCATTCTGCAGGAGGAATATCCTCCTCTCACTCTCTTTGAGAGTTCTCCCCCTTTACCCCATTTGTTGTTGTTTTTTCTTTTGTTTATTTAGTTTTTCATTATTCGAACAGAGGGTCTGAGGATGGAGGGTGTACACATTACAGATTGTTAAGCCCTCTGAGAAAAATTTGTGATTTTGGACTGTATAGACTGACTGTATAGCTAACTTGACTTTGACCATTGCCAAAGACACATTTCTACTTCAGGCCATGGTGGGAAATAAACATGTTTGATAATTGTCATTAATTTTCCATTACTACTATTACAAACAAAATAACAACAACTGTTACACTTTAAATAACGTTCACTCAAAATGCATGAACAGGTATTCCAAAATGATCTTATATAAAGTAAAAACAATAAATTAGATGTGCATGCATCTTCCCATAGTTTAATGTATTTAACACCAACACAGCATGCAGAGGACAGTCTATCTCCTGTATTTGATTTATTTGCACAATAGAACACAACAGATGAATAACAAACACCAGAAAAAGGGACAAATTGTGCCTTATATTATATTACTGTACATGCATGTACAGATATTTAAATATAACATTAGACTGATGGTTAACAGAGACCATCACTGATAGTGCAGGTTTCCCCCTCTCTCAGTTCAGTTTAACGTTTTCTCTGTTTGTCTGCGTTGTTGCTGGTCCATTCACAGCTGTGTGTCTTTAAGAAGGAAAGAAAGGAGATTAGGAGGGCGATAGAGGAATATTGAGATCATTTTAAGCAACTAGGCTGAAGCTGCAGGACCAATGTCACAGGGATCGGACTTCCTCTTTTCTCCAAAAGCTGTGAGGCAGCCGCAAAACTCCCCTCGCAACACCGGTGACACTGCTGATGCACACTAACATTTGAATGTGTGCAGGGGCTGGCATTCCTGTATGGCTCTTAAGTCTTTGTGTACCAAGAGTCTCTATTGTGTGTGTGTGTGTGTGTGTGTGTGTGCATGTGTGTGTGTGTATATGACAGTCTGACGACGGAGGATGCCCGACTCAGCATCTCCCCACCAACAGTGCTGGTGTTAATAATAACACGTAGCTCCTGGAAATTAAAGCCTGTAGCCATACATACACTTCCTCACACATGCACACACACACACACACACAAGGGATTCAAATATTGCAGAGGTGCCACGCAGTTTAACCTCATTTGAGGACACAAAAAGCAACCTGGCTCTTATACTGCAGAGACTCACTGGGGATCAGCAGACATGCACAGACACACACAGCACACACAGACACAGGCACAAGTATTCACAAATGGCTCAGCCTGCAGAGTTGAGGCTACCAGGAGCCACAATGCAGATCAAATCGAATGCAGTAAACACTTCACATCTTACATGGTGTTATAATGGTGATAGGCAGGGTAGGACACTGCCTGAAGGTTACACTACTGTGATAGGTCTGAGACAGAGTGCCGTTTACGCATCAAAGTTTGGTTCACTGAATAGTTGCCTGTGTTGTTTACTGGTTATGATGCTTTTATAAACTACCAGTATTCACCTTCTCAATTCCGACCCTTGTCACCTATTACATTACTATAGGTCAGTGACATAATTAAAGTAAAGGTTTATCATTTTTCACCAGTTGTATGTATTGTTTATGATGCTGTCCACATTCCCTGCCAGATACACTAATTTCCAGAACACATTTCATTTTGTTTCTAACATTTTTCTAAAATCTACATACATGTAATGCATCATATTCAGTGCGAGTTGTCACATCAAATATTTATTCTTCTTCAAGTGGCCCTGGTTATCCTGAAGTTACCTAGAGTCAGATACATGAAAGAAGCACAAAACAAAAACGTTTCTCAAAGCCCATCGCAAGTCGCCCTTCAGCAAGGAACTGAAACGTGCAGAGTAATGTCTTTTACAGCCAGCTTGCGAGGCAGGAATTGAGCCTAGTCTGAACACTAAAACATACTCCAACAGAGAAATACAACTATTGTGAGTTACAGTCTATTTAGTACTGTTTGTCTAGTTTACATTCTCCTTGTGATTTGCATAATACAATCACTCACTTATAGGAAATCATTCAGCCAGGGCACAAAGAAAGGGAGATGACAAAATGAAGGTGTTCAGACCGAGTTTAAATCTGTGGAAAGAAAGCGAACTCTGCTGCCTCTGACTGCTTTGACGGGCAGCAGAAATATGTTTGAGCAGAGGGACATGACAACACACACGATTGGGTTCCTCTGGTGGATCTGTGAGGGACGTGTGGGACCATTTTAGGAGTCTCTCTAAACTTGAGACCTGCCATCCATTCTACATCATTAAGAGACATAATAAAGACAATAATAATTGAATTATCAGTGCGACTGAAACATCTATGGGAGGGGAAATGATTCTAGTAGAGTTGAAATGCCTTTCATTAATAAATTAACTAATTAGTGGAAGCCACAGAGACTGGACTCATGGTATTTCCTTCCGATTCATGAGAGACTCACTTATTTGAAATGCTGCTGTGCCCTCTAGTGTTAGAGAGTGAGAATGAGGCCTGTTTCCCAGCAGTCTCTGCACACTCTTCTCTCATTGGTCAGATCCAGAAGAGCAGAATATGGAGATTAGATTTAATTAAAATCGCCTCCAGCCCGTCACCCACTGAACTTAAGATCTACATTCAGCAAACTGTGACAGTTTTTAATATCCAAATTACGCAGCCCACCGATCAATGCAGACGATAACTGCTGACTCTGACAAATTCAATATCCTCACATCTGATAGCAATCAACAACAAATGCACCATTATGACTGGGGCAGACACAATTTGAAAAACACAACAATGGAATAAAGGCAGTTGTTAGTGCTCCAAAAAAAGGATTGAGTTAGCAGTGTGAGTCAGGACAGAATCAGTAGAAAATCCGGTGGCGTTTGCTGAAACGGTGGCTGCGAGCCAAGCAGCCCGAGTAGCCACTCTGTGTGGCTGCAGCAGTGCCAGGCCCGGGGAGACATGAGTTATGTGGCACTAAATCAGCCTCACATCCAGCTGACTCCCCAGGTTTTTGTCCGTCATCTACACACGCACAAGCAGTTAATGCTGTGTGCGTCTGCATGTGTTTTAGAGGAGAAAGAGCAGTGGCCCTTCTAGATGAGAGGCTGGAGGGGGATGGACCTAGGCTTGTGTGTGTGCGTGTGTGTGTGTGCGTGTGTGTGTGTGTGTGCGGATGATCACTAGATGTAACAGCTCCTGAACAGACAAGATGCGGGAAACTGCTCACCAGATCAATGTCTGCTGCTGTGTGTTCTATACCTGAAAGTCCAATATGGGAGAACTCTGTACAAGAAAGGGAATCCCTTCTTTATGAGGGTTACCTTTAAGCAACTATTCCTTCATACCTGATATTTAAGAATTAAAGGACCAGCGTTCAGGATTTAGTGGCATCTAGTGGTGAAGGTGCAGATTGCAACTACCAGAACACTGCTCGCATCTGTATTTGACGACTTGTGAATGAGATTGGTGTGTGTGTAGGAGAAACTATGGTGGCCTATCTAGAGTCAGTGTTTGGTTTGTTCGTTCTGGGCTACTGTAGAAACATGGCTGTACAACCTGGTTCTAACGGGCTGATGCTAAGCAGAAAACATAATGAAACCAATAATTATGAAGAATGTATTCCATTTCTGACAATAGATCCAGTGTGTATACAACTATTTTGATAATCGATCAAAATAAATTAAATATTTTGTTGGTATATATTTTGGTTTCTTTTGTCCCCTATGACAGTAAACTGAATATCTTTGGGACTGGACAAGACATTTGGGGATGTGGTGTGTGTAGATAAAACCAGCTTATTCTAAGGTGACAAAAACACAGCAGTCCCTATATACAGGTGGTTATGCACTAGACCTTTGAATTAGCATGTAGGTACCTAGAATTCTTAATTAACTGCATCAGCTGCTCAGTGGTCGTCAGTTGCTTATTGTTTTAATACCTATGTACATAGGTATATGTACTGTAGGACTCCCTGGAAAGCAATACACACTGAGTAAATTATCTGGGTGAAATTAAGTAAATTGAATTTCTTTGAACTTGAAGGGGCGACTTTACTTGAAGACCGGCATCTGTGTTTGTTTAAAGGCACTTAACTTACGTAATTACAAGTTCCAGACCTGTGTGATGATGTGATGTCCTTCCAAAGACAAATAAAAGCAAGCAGTTCTTTTAAAACCGTACAACTTTATTTATGAAATCCTGCAACAGATCAGCCAAACAGTAAAATTTTGAAGATTTAATCCACAAACTTAGAAAAGGTTACAAAGAGAAAAACATGAGAAAGCAGTCAAAGACCATTTGATCTGTCCATCTTGACGTAGGGCCACCCTTCCTGGTCATCTGTTTTCTCTCTCTTCTTCTCTTTCTATCACATTATCTTCCTTTCTGCCTCTGTTTTTCCTCTGTGATGGCCAAGGGGGCCAATCAGCTGTTTGGTCACCAACTCCAGCATCCACAATTTACTTCCGTGCTCTTCAGTGATTGATTGGCCCTTGGTTACCATGGCGGCGACATTGGCTGTGGGTTCTGGAGGTAAGACATCACAACTGCTGAGATGGACAGCCTGCAGACAGCACAGAGAACGTGAGGAAAACACCGTGTTTAGTGTGTGATTTTAGTTTTACAGTCACACTGAAACAGTATTTCTACACATGTAATGTTAGATAATGTTTATGTATAACGTCATTTATTCTTTTTGCACCTAATTATTATTAGATATTATTATTTTATAATTCTTATTCCTATTTTAATAATAACATAACGCTATACTGACACAATATTATTCTGACAAAATTTAAAGGCAGTCTGGGTCGGGAAAATAACAAAAATCTCTAATACAGGACTTGAAGAAAGCCTTTAGCCTTTATTGTAGACGAATGATTTTTCCACCTTGGTATTTTCTTTCTGGTTTGCATTTGTTGCGGTCCTTGAGCACCTTTGTTGACTCATTAAAATGACTTTTTACTTATTGGCTATAAAGCAAAAAAACACGCTCCAGCTGTCTTTTAATAATTCAACGAGATATTTTGCTGACAAGTTGCCATGTTATGAAACGATCTGTTGGAGCACAGGTCTGATTAGTACAGAAGCAGGTCTAAAGAACGTATCCCTGAGCCATGTGACGCCACCGTGGGGTTGATTCCTCCAAACATGCGTGACGGCAGGTTCGCCTGATAACACCGATGACATACCTGCCCTCCACGGCTCTCTCATCCTGTACAGCCACTTTCTTTTGTTTAATAACACAGGGACACTTACATCATATCTTGGCTATTGACAAATGTCCTAAAACTGGCCTTGAACCAGCTTCTGTGCACACGAGGCTGGTGCATTAAGTTCATCGTCTGACATTACTTGCTGAGCCAAACATTTTGCGTTACTAAACTATGAGCGCATCAAGCTTGTCTTTAATACAACCTCATCTAGACGATGGACCAGGAGGTTTGTCTGCGAGGCCTGGACAGGTGCCCTACAGTAGTACTCTTTTATAAGCAAATGGAAGTGGACCACCTCTGGAGGTCAGACAGTTAAAAGCTTTTGGACATTAGAGCTGGCTCAGTGGCAGACAGTAGCGAGTCTAACCTACAGTTTTAAAGCTGCATAATTCAAGACTTTAACGTAAACATATAGTACCTTTAGTAGCCTGTTTCATGACTAAGAGTTGCAACAGAGAAGACGGCCACATCCCTAATAACAGAGACAGTAAAGAGTCTCCTAGTGTATTCACAAGTTTGCTTAGAATCATTAATGTGGACATGTACAAACCAACCACCGACTGCCAATCTGACCCGGTGGCAGACATTAAGAATAACTAATATTAGAAATAGCCATCTTCCCGGTGATGTCTTGTTTTTTTATGTAGGTCATATGAAAGCATTCGGTTTCATAACCAGGTTAAAACTCTTTATAGTATGTTCAAGTTCACGTATAGTATGTCTGTATGCATAAACACATGGTGCTATATACTCACATGAAGCTGCTCATCATCTGTTTGGTGTCCTCTGAGCTTCTGGAGTTTGCAAAGCTGATGAAAGAGCAGTAGACTGCGATCCAGGCACACCACTTCAGCTGAAACACACACAGGTTACAAATGTTAGCTGGTATGGAAGATCAGAAAGACCAAAACGTATATCTATATAATAGTATCAGTTGTTAGTTTGGAGACGGACAGACTGTATCTGCTCTGGCTCAGTTGAAGTTTAATGTGAAGATAGAGGAATACAACTACATAGTTGATAAATAGCAATGATCAATTAGTAAATGATGAGCTTCAATTTGGTGTTGTCAAATTATATGTTTCCTGGCCAGTATACAAAATCGCATTAAGCGGTGTGCCTGACATTAACACGATATTCTGTTAGGTGTTGTTGCCAGTATTTTGTACACTGCCAGTAAAATATACAGTTCTTAGAGTGAATGTTTAGTTTTTCCTGTACACTGCCAGGTCTCTGCATGATTGCATAATTATTTATGCCCTTTGTTTAAAACAACACAAACAAAAACATTTTTACACCTGCAAAGTAAAACTAGTTCTTTGTTGACGGAAAGACTCAATCAATTAAACTAAATGATCAACAATCGGACTGAAAGGCCCCATGCGCATGTTGCTGTCCCCTCTTTGTTTTTCTTATTGTGTCCTTAGTGCTGAAAGTCAAAAGCTGTCCTTCATCCTTTCATCTCAAAAGGTGAGTTTACCTTTAATCTTCTAAATGGAACGATTGGGCTGGACCAAGGTCTCACATTCAGGGGCAACAGCAACACACACACACACACAAGTAAACATACACAGAGGCAAAGGAGAAGGAGTGTGTGTTTGTGTGTAGGTCACCTTGAGCATCAGTCCACACATGCTGAAGATCATGCCGAGCAGGTTCATGTAGTCAGGGGTGGGGTCCTCCAGTGTGGGGTTGCTCTCTGTGCTGGGCGGCTTGTACCTGCAACACCAAATATGTCGATTATCCATAAACACACAACGTCATTTCCATGTCACACCACTGGCCCTATGCTACAATTACAATAAAACCAGGGACATTACTCATCCCAAAGGTGTCGGATGGGGTTGAGGTCGGGACCCTGTGCAGGCCAGTCGAGTTCCTCCACACCAGACTGGGAAGAGCATTTGATTTTGGACCTGGCTGTGTGCTATGGGGGGGTTGTCACATTGAAACAGGAAGGGACCTTCATCAAACTGTTGGAACATGTCCAAACTATGAGCCCCAGACTGAAATAAACTAAAGTGGCAGGGACAGGGTCGCCCCCAGAGTTTGAGCCACCTAAATGGCACCTGACTGACTACAGTCTTTGTTTCTGTAAAGGAGAGAAAAGGTGTCAGACAGGCTGACACTAGTTTAGTGTGTTTAGAGTGAGAAAAGGGCAAACAGTAACACAGATGGAAAAACAAGCCATTTGCTAAAACATCCACTATTTAACGGCCGGTTATTAAATCACTCCTTTGTAATTGCTCGATGATCACACAGCTAAATGAAGCGGTCGCTAATCCCTTTAAGATAAACTCATGACTGGTGTTAAAGGTTAGCTGTTAGCTGTTAACCAAGCTGATACGGTGAGCTAACCTAAGCCTGCATGAAACACTCACCTTAAAATCTTATTCTGTCTCCTCGGGTCTGCCATATTGTTGGAAGACATTGTGCGTTATAACGCCGTCCTGGTCTTATTTTATTATAAAGATATTTAAAGACAGCTGGTCGGCCTCGGCATGAATGGGGACGAAGGGGGCAGTTGTATCCGGTGAATTTCAAAATAAAAGGCTGGAGTAATCCGCAGCCCAGAATGAAACAGGAGGGGTGTTTTTGTAACTTTTATTTTGACAGGAGGATGTTTTCCCAGTGTGCATTGCGAGTACTAGCAACCATGATGGGTGAAATGAATGGAAGAAGCTGTTGATGTTTACAAAGTGGGAATAAACTTATTGTTGTTGATCTTGTGTCAGTTCCACTGGGAGTATCAACATAACATGACACGAGCCTGAAACGGAACTCTGGTAAAAACGGTTCAAGTGAGTTAACGTTAACTAAGTTAGTTTAACGGGAAAACTGCAGCGAGTAGGACATGATTAATGTCAGCGAGGACTGTTTAACCCTAGTTCTGTCTGAAGAATAACATCTCATAAACCTCCAGAACTCAGGTAGTGTCCTTTTGAGAAAGCTAATGAATCATTTGAACGTGTCAAGAAACAACAGTAACCCACCTCATAGCTTGGTGCAGCAGTATTAAAGCCCTGTGGTGTAAACAGACAGTGAAGTGTCATGGAGGGGAGCTGTTAATGGGGCTCACGCTTTGTGTTGTGTTTCTCCACACAGGTTGTGTCATGGCGTTCCCTGAGCCCAGACCTCAGCTTCCTCAGCTTCCTCAACATCTGCTCCACACAATAGACTGTCAGCAGGGAGCTGTCAGGGCTGTTCGCTTCAACGGTACATAGAGCCAATATATTCTTCATACTAGTGTTTAGACGGTTGAGATATGGGTATGAGAGGCTTGCTTGCTACGAGCAGTCTGGTTTGAGCTAATGTCCAAGATATGAAAGCACTGCAGCACTCCAGCTCAGGTATTGGGGCATTATTGTGACAAAGAGAGTGTTAATTCTCCCTGAGAGTCATGAGTTATCCATGAAATGTCATGAGCTTACACCTGTGTCCGTCTCATGTCTCCCTGCTCGGTCAGCTGATGGGAACTACCTGCTGTCCTGTGGCAGTGACAAATCTCTAAAGCTGTGGAGTGTGAGCCGAGGGACCCTGCTGAAGACGTACAGCGGCCACGGATACGAGGTCCTGGATGCCGATGGGTGAGGGAATTGTCACTGCCTCCTCCACGGTGTGTCAGGAAGGCTGGTTTTGAAAAAGAAAGCAAGAAAAGAGAAAAAACCGCTGAAGTGACATTGTTTGTTTCTCATTGGCTGTTTCAACAGTTCCTATGACAACAGCCAGCTGTGCTCCTGCAGCTCTGATAAGACGGTGATCCTGTGGGACGTTGCCACAGGCCAGGTCACACGCAAGCTCAGAGGTCACGCTGGGGTCAGCCTTTGTCATGTCCACTTCAATTCTAAATCTTTTCATTCGTGATTTTGTTGCAGCATATACTTTATTTGTTCTTTCTTTAATTTATATCTCACTCAAATCTTTTGTTCACAGAAAGTCAACTGTGTCCAGTTCAACGAGGAGGCAACTGTCATCTTGTCTGGTGGGTCTCATTCAGTATACATTATTTTTGTGGACACTGCAGTGTGTATTTGTAGTTTGCGGTTGTCTTTGTAAGTTTCTTGGTTTGTATTTATATTCAATTGTAGCTAACTCATAAACACTAACACAAATTACTAACTGAATCTAAGTGTGGTTTAGTGTTAACTTAGTTAATGTTTATACTCATTTATTTGTGGTCTTGGTGTGTGTGTGTGTGTGTGTGTGTGTGTGTCCTCCTCCAGGGTCCATAGATGGAACAGTTCGGTGCTGGGACACCAGGTCAAGAAGATTTGAGCCCATCCAGGTTCTAGACGAGGCGCGTGACGGCATCAGCAGCATCAAAGTGGCACAACACGAGCTGCTTACCGGGTCAGCGCGCCAGCCCTTATATCTCCTGCTCATTCACACTGTAGCAGATTTAGATTTGAGCTCGAAGCAAATGAAGACACAATGTCTACCCAGTCTTATCATTCCTTTTCTTAATTGAATTGTTGGGTCTGTAAATAATTTCATCAGGAGTATGGTCCAGACCTGCTGTATACGAAGTGTCCTGAGATAACTTCTGTTATGATTTGGCACTACATAAATACAATAGAATTGAAATGAACTGGAAAAATACCTTTCTATCAGTGAAACAGAAGTTTGATTTCACTGTGGCACTGTTTGAAAATGGTTATCTTGTGTTTAGGTCAGTGGATGGCAGAGTGCGGCGCTACGACCTGAGAATGGGACAGCTACATGTTGACTTCATCAGCAGTGAGTAATCTTTTTCTTTCCAACATTCAAACGCTAATAGCAATAACTATTACTGACATTATTTGTAGCAGTAGTTACACTAATTGTTATAAGTTATAAGTAGTAGAAGTGACAGCAAAGTAATGACTTTGTAAACTTTTATTTACAACCTTGGAAATGCAACACGGACACTGTAAATAACAGTGGAAATGCAGAAACCTGTAACTTGTGTATGTGTTTGTGTGTTCCAGGTCCCATCACGTGTGTGTGTTTCAGTCAGGACGGTCAGTGCACTCTGAGCTCCAGTCTGGATTCAACCGTCAGACTGCTGGACAAGAGCACCGGAGAGATGCTGGGAGAGTGAGTGCTGAGTGTGTCTGTTATTTTGTCCACCCCCCGTACTGTTTGTATGTACGCACAGCCCTGCAGTTTGTTGAACATTTATTGACAAAGTATTGCACATTAGTTCACACTCATATTGTTATTATGTTTGTGTTTGTTTGTTTGTTTCACTCAGGTACAAAGGGCACAAGATGAAGGGCTATAAGCTGGACTGCTGCCTGTCCGGTAAAGACACCCACGTCCTGAGCTGCTCAGAGGACGGACACGTCTACTGCTGGGACCTGGTGGAAGTAAGTGTCTGCTTGCATTTATGTTCATAGTGCATTGATGGGCTCACCATAAGCATTTTGCAAACCTTAAGTGGACAGAAACACAGACAAAAGAGGGAGATATTTGGCACTCAATGCAAACCCTCAATACTGAACATCTCTCTGACAGCAGCCTGTAAAACTTGGGGTTTGTTCCCACCAGCATGGTCTGCTCTTATGTTAGAAACAAATGTAGAAAGTGTAGTGAAAGCATTCTGTATAACGTTAGCATTATAACGTTGTTCTTCTGACCTCCAGGGATCTTTGTCCTTAAAACTGCCAGTGGGGAAAGCTGTCGTCCAGTCACTGTCCTTCCACCCCACAGAGACCTGCCTCCTCACAGCCATGGAGGGACGCGTCCAGGTGTGGGGGGCAGAGCCAGAGGAGACAGAGGAGGATACGGTGGCCACATAGAGATGGTTTGGTACTGGAATAATCAGTAAATCTTTTAACAATGTGAGCAGCACCTGCATCGACAAGATCTTCTTCGACAGATTATCAGTCTGTGTTTATGGCTGTTGGCTTTACAAATATCTAGCTCTCTAGAAAGGAAAGCAAATGCCAACTAACACAAATACAGAGTCACAAAAATGTTGTTAAACTGTGGTTCACAGATGTACAAAGTATATGACCTGGGTGTGAATCTCATTGTAGTTCATGATTGAATCTAGATTCAATTCATAAGATTTAACTAAATGATCTAGAATGTGATTTTTTGTATGTGTGCAAAACATATTTTTGTAAAAACCTTTGAATAAACATTTTCTTGTGTACATTCCACAAATTTCTCTCTTTAGACCAATGATACTCCCACCGACACTGTTAGTTCTGTACAAGTTTATCTTTATTAGGAACTGTACACACAATGAACAGAGATAAGCACGTTACAAAATAAGTTAATCGGCATGACAAAAGAATGGGAACAAATAAATAAATAACTTATCTTACATAAATACATTTTTTAAACTAGCTGGACTGTTGACGAATATGTCTGAATTGTGAAGAAGTTCACTCAGCTGCGTTTGTCGAACCACAACAAGGTGTATCTACGCAGCTTCATACATATGATCTGTTCTGTTATTAACCCCAAAATTGCACTGATTTAAATAAATACATGTCAGCTTATTTACAAAAATAGTCAAGTAGTTTGTAGTAGAATCATGTCTCAAAAAACTCCCCTTTTCCAATATTTTAAACTGTTCATCAACTAAGAAAAGTAGCCTGATTTTGTTTTTTTAGCTTCACTGCTATCAAAGTAGTTTTTTCAAGCTTGCAAATGCCAAAAGTAATAAAATTCTAATCCGATTGAAGCTCATGAGATCACGAGTTGAAGTCAAAACATTTAAACCAACAAAACTTGATTCATAAGGTTTCATCCAAAAGTGAAAGGGAAAATAGCTTAATTCTGTGCTCATTGATTTTAACATAAATAACTTCATAAGAATGGGTTTAAGCTTCCTCTACAGTGTGTCATTTTGGAATGAAACTCTTCATTTATAGACATTACAAGAGAACCTGCCAGCAAACTTGTCCTCTCAGAATCCCCTTGTCCTCACAAACCATCATACACCCTCTCTCCTCCCCCTTCAGCCATCTGCGCTCGGCTGTCTAGCCCACGCAGCTGCAGCCCGCAGCCGACAGCTTCTCCACCTTGTGCCAGCGGTGCGAGTTGTCGAGGAAGGCCATGTCCTCGTGGTCGGTGGGCCTGCAGCAGGGCGCGTTGTGCCACAGCTCCCCAGGCACTGGTTGAGGGAGCACCCCGCTTAGCAGCAGGTTGGTTAGGGTGAGGTCGTGGTTGGAGCGAACGTGGGGACACGTCCCACTGCAGTACTTGAAGAGGACGGTTTCGTCTGAGTCGTAGCCCAGCCCGAGGTCTCGAACCTGCAGTAGGATGGAGCGCAGGCCGCACTGGGAGTCTAGTGTAGAGCGCCGTGAGCGGACTGGGATCGGGATCATGGGGTCGGGTGATGGCCCGGCTCCAGAAGCTTCTGTTGAGTCGCCTGCAGCAGCCGAATCTCTGCTTCTCTTGTCATTGTTGGGTGACGTGTGTGGAGATGCTGTTTCTTGTTTCTGACCTGGAAAAGGCAGAAAGGGTTATCTATACATCTGATGTTCAAAAGTACTGTTAAACATGTATAGAAATACTCTTAATTAACAGCAAAAACCAACACATTTCCAGCTTTACCCCAGCCAACATTTACACAGCAGTTAGTTGTACTCTTAACCAAAAACATAGTAACTACTGAGAGGTAGAAAACCAAAGTTTAAAGTTATACACATCCAAGTCTAGACACAAAATTGAACACATTGTCCTCAAAGGAAGCAAAAATCAGATTTTAGCCAAAAGGTCATAGGTCACCTTCCCTTCAGCCAGCACTTACCAATCAGCGATCTCAGCAAGTGGCTCTCTCCTCTCTGGACGCAAAACAGAATCACGACCAGCTTCAACAGGGACCTCATCGCTAGAGTCTGCTCTCCGTCTGAACCGTCGCTCAAAATGAACCAGACACGTGTGTGTTTGTATGTCTGCGAGTGTCTGCGGGTGCGAGTGATGCTTAAGATGAAGACGAGTCACAACCTCCAATATATAGCCCTTGGAGATGAAGGGGGGTGAAGGGATGAGGTGAGGAGGTGTAGGGGGGAGACAGACACTAACCCGTTACTTGCCAACAGACTATCCCACTCACCTGAGCCTGACAGGGAGCGTAGGAGGGCAGGCGGGCGCTTGACCCAGAATTTGTCCTGTTGGGATTATCTAATTGGTGTAAATCATCTCTTATTGTTGAGTTTTCCCCAGATGTTTTTCCAGAGGATGTTGGCCCCTGGCAATATGGATTCCCAGAGGTTTGGGGTTTCTTAAAAGCTGTGAGTGGACAATGATGTCACATTGATGATGCTGAGAAGTATGTGTGATAAATGAATCAGTAGATAGGTAGCTAGACAGACACGGAAGTGGAAAGGCAGCCAAGAGATAAACTTTATTAATACATAACACAAACATGATCCATGTAGGAAATGTAAAGGAAGAAGCACGGCAGGATGAGTCATAGTGGAATGTCCTAAAATAGGCCCCTGTTGCATTTTGCTTTTGAAGCTTTTTCTTATCGTAAACGTTTCGTCTTTAAAAAGCTTTAAAAGGTTAAACACCACAGAAGAAAGGGAAGTCAGGTTATAATTAGAACACAACGGGGCCTGTTTCAGCAGACATTCCACAATGGGTGACTCGTCTTTAGCTGGTCCATAAATTGAGGGATTTTATCAGCAATGTGTGGCTGACATGTAGAATATGTAGAATATGCATTATGTAACTGTTATAGGGCCCAAACAGGCAGTGAATGGAATTTGGAGTTTGCAAGAAAGTGCATATTTGGAGCCTGTTTCTGCCATCCAGGTGCAGGTCTTACACCTCAGCGTACATCAGTTAGCAACTGATGTAACTGAAAATATGAACTGAAACCGAATTCATTTGTGAGTTGATAAACATTTGAAAGTAACTGTGTATCTGTTCGCCTGTTTTTTTTTTTGCTGTCCATCAAATTCCTTTTTTTTTTGTCCCACTAAATAACTTTCACTTCTCAGAAAATGAGACGGTCCTTCTACTGTATTTCACAGTTCCACAGTTCAGTTATTTCTGTGCATTCTCAGCCTGCTAGTAAAGTAAATATATTACTGGACAGAAAGGGATAGGATGATAATAAATCTCTTATTAATCGCTTATTTCCTAAACTTTTTGACAGCGGGTAAAAGTCATAACAAAAAGAAATGATTATGATTATAAGTGAATGATACCTACTTAGATATTGGGAGAGAGATTTGCCCATTTAAGACAATACAGTTAGTTGTGTCAGTTATATCACAGAGGGACATTCATTTACTCTCCAATGCTTCCTTCCCCCAGCTGTTACCTATAGTCGGTTTGCAAGTTGTATTTAAGTCTGATTACCAGTAAAATTTAAAAGGGAGTTTCTCCAAACACTGTATGTGGCCCAGATACATAGAAAAGACACGTTCACACTACAAGCCTTAGCACTCAGCTCTGATTTAGCTTTGTTTGGCTGTTCACCTTATTTTTAAAAACATGGCCCATATCGGAGTCCAGTGTGAACAGGTCACGGTCCTGGACTGACCCACATGCGCAAAACAACAATAACACGTCATACGATATCATACACGCAGGAAGTAAACATGGAGGCCTCTGAAGACAACATGTACAGTTTATTTTATCAGTTGATGTGCAGTATCATCCCAAATACTGAAGTGTGGCTCAGAATTGTGAAGAATGTTGATCTAGAGTTATGCAAAAGTCACACGAATTCTGATGACTGTTCACAATTGCAAAAAGACCTACTGTATATCTGAGTTGACCACATATGAAAATGGCCAAAGCAGAACTTGAAAAGATCAGATTTCTATGGGAATTTTGCTGTTCATACTGTCATGAAAGTCACATATGAACAAAAATTACTGATCGAGTACATTGAGGATATTTACGTATACATAGATAACTTGTACAGGGACAATACACATTGATCATCAAAATAGTATTAGACACAACATGTAAAATCAAAAAGAGAAAAGAGAGGTTGGAACACGAAAGTAAGAAAACAAAGGATTAAAAGCTTAAAAAATATAAAACGAAATATACGTTACAATGCAGGCGATTAATGGAGTATCTCTACTGCATTTTGTTAATGCCTGACTTCTGGCTTCACTTAGTTATATTTAGACATGAGGAGTGTGTCCAATGAGATTTTAGGCTTATTTATTAAACTTAAACAGCCCCATTTCTCATGTATTATAGCTCTGTTGATATGAATTACAAAGGAATCATCCCTAAATCTTGAACTCATAATGGCCAACGAAATTTACTGCCAGGAATTTCAATAATTCTTTGGAGGATCAGGTTTTTGAGACTGCACTAAATTAGACATTAAAATGAAATATGACTGTGTATTGAGCTCTTCCTCAGTTATAGCCTGCTCCACTCAATGTGTTTAATTCCAACTTGAGCAAATTTGACCCAAAATGCCTTCTGTTTCTTCTTGCTTTATTTCAGTATTCTACTTTTGTATCTTCTGTTATACAGTTATATACAGTTGTAAGTCCTTATGTATCTGTATTTGTTCTCTTTCTATCTCAAGGGTCAGTTAATGGACAATAACAACATAGTTTTGATGCAATCACAGTGGGGATGGTTTCGTTTTAAACACACAGAACACATTACGAAATTCCAGTTCTGTTGGACGTGGACATATTTGTATTGTGAGAGAAAAGACATGCAAACACAAGGATGAAAATAAGAAAACACAAATCAGCTTCTTCATCTTCATGAAAACACAATACTAACTATTGAAGTACAATTGGGAAAGAAACAGATTTTCAAGACTCACAAAAGGGACATTATTTTTATCCTAGAGAATGAAATATCAAAGGTTGGGTGGTTTTAACAAGCTAACGAATGGGTTTTAGGACCCAAACCTGAATCTCTGGACCTCTCCTCTATAGTCTGGGGTCGCAATAAATACAGAAAAAGACCACTGAGAACTGCACCCAGGTACTCTAGCGGACCTTCTCAATAGTCTTCTTTGTAGTGAGATAATACTGGGCATGTGACTTTCTTCATTTCTGCAGATCCAGTAAAAAAAGACCTTCGTCAACCTGCACCAGTTGAAACAATAAGAGCTCTGCCTAACTCAGCTGTCCTCAAGCAAGTGCAATCATTATCACACAGAGCGTCCATTTCCTGGTAATTTGTATGGAAAACAAGAACACGAAAGGGCAAAGGGCCTCACACATTCCTTCCACCTCTCAAAGAGACAGGAGGATGAAGGCCAAGCGAGAAATGAAAAGACAGAAGGAAAGAGGAGGAGGTGGTGGGAGAAATACAGTGGAGATAGAGCAATCCCTTTGGATTATGGCCTAAAGAACCAGTCTGGAATCCTGGGTTGTCAGAAGACAGGAATGGAAAGAACGCGGCATCAATTTCTGTAAAAAATAAAAAAAGGGGTGGGGTGGGGGGCACAAAACATTTTTTTACAGTGGTGCACCCAGCCAGATAATAATGTAATTGGTTTACACATCCATTATATATTAGGTTTTTAGCCGTGCTAGCAGCATGGCTCTAGGGACGGGTATGATGGTTGGTCAGTGGACCCACCACTTTGCTCCATGCTGAAATATCTCTGCAGCTATTCAATGGGTTGCATGGAAATCTCATCCAGATACTCACACAGGTCTTCACAATGATACTAATAAAGGCTCTGTTCCATTCAGGTCAAACAAAGTCAGGTAGTCATGATAGTTAACATGGTCAATTATACCTGCTCAACATCAGCATGTGATTACTGAGCATGTTAGCCTTTAGCTCAAAGCACGGCACAGCTTCACAGAGACGCTAACTCGGCTGTAGACTGTTAAATGGGATACTGCGATACTAGAAATATACAGTATCATTTATAACATAATTCTCTAATTCTCCATTCCTCTCGACTGTTATTTTTCCAACCCATTTTCTTCCCACTGGCCCAGCTTTCTCAACAGTGACGCTGCAGCTTTTCCAAACTCTGGGCTGCTTTCGGCTCCCTATATAAATGTCACAATCGTCTGGTTTCTAGTCTACTTTTAAATCTTTCTCAAGGCATCATAGATCTTTAAGGGGAGAATCACTCCTCCCGGTGCTCTGTCTCCTCTGGTGCATTCCTGCACGTTCAGCACATATATTTAGTCTCATGAAGCAGACATACATCAAAAATATATATTTTATAATGCTTTCTGTTTGTATATCCCTTCTGTCAGAAAAAGGAAAATAAATCCTCCACTTCAGACTAAAATAAAAACGAAATATGGTGGTTCCATGCTCCCCTTTTAGCTTATGCAAGAACTATTTTTCTTAATTCTGAGGGACTTTTAACCTCCAGAACTAACTTGTTTCCTTTTTCACCTTTATTAAAAATGTATCTCATATACAGAGACCTGCTGTACCTACATACCTGTACCTCACATAATGTTTTTAAGTACATACCCTGTAAGGAGGGTTAGGGTTATTTTTTCTTTATGCTGAAGTACTTTAAGATGTTCAGGTTTACCTCAAGTCACTTTGTGTTTACATGCAGCCAGACTGCAGAGGCTCAGACATGACCGGGCTAAATGTAGCCTGAGTTCATGCCAAAACAGATATGGAGAGGTAAAAATAGAACAGGAAAAG